ATGCCTGATGCCTGTAATCCCAGCACTTGGAAGGCTGAGGCAGGAGGATCGCTGTGAGTTTGAGACCAACCTGGGCTACATAGTAAGTTCCAGAGCAGTCTGAACTACATAGTGTGACCCTGTCTCAAAAAATTAAAAAAAAAAAGAATACAGAAAGGTGGAAAAAAAACTTGTTCTCACTCCAGTGACAAGAAAAAGCCAGTTAATGTATAAAGCTATAATTTTTCTTTCCTTTTTTTTTTTTTTTTTGGTACCAGGGATTGAACTCAGGACCTTGCTGGTGGAACCACTGAGCTAAATCCCCAGCTTTTCTTCCTTTTAAGCAATGACAAAGTTTCTTTGAAAAAGCAAAAGTGAAGAGTGAGAGAGAAACTGGCTCTGCAGAGAGAGCTTAGGCCAAATAAAAGAAGAAAAAGCAAGATAAGAGAACACCCTGGAGGAAGTAGGGTGGGCTACAATGAGGAAAGTCACCATAGCCTAAAACCACAATTTTTGTTGAAGTTATGGAACAGAGATTACAAAACAACAAATTAGACCGAAATTGAAGGGAAGACAGGCACATCCAAGGAGAGAGAAATTCAAAGTCCAGTTTACCTGTGTAGTGGAAAAAAAAGATGAGACCACGATACAATGGGTAAGAAAATCAAGTATAATTTTAAATGAATTAGCTGGTCATAGTGGCACACACTTGTAATCCCAGCAATCTGGAAGTCTGAGGCAAGAGGACTACCAATTCAAGTTCAGCCTGCCTCAAAATAGTTAAAAAAGGTGTGGGGGGGGGGCTGAAGCTATATCAATCTCAAGTACTGAAAAAAGAAAAAAAGAATGACTATTGAATTGTAAACCTCTAAAGAAAAGGCAGTTACTCCCAAGGCAGGTGGGGCAGTGGAAAAGAAAAAATAAAAATAATAAAACAAAACCCCCTCTGTCTGGGAGAAGGTCAAGAAATTCTGACCAACACTATTAAAGGTGTCCTCCTCTTGGGGAAGACAGAATCATTCAGAAAGATCTACCCCCAAAACTCAAGGACACACTCTCATGAGGCTGAACTTGGATGACTGAGAACTTCCTTATTCCCCAGGACCAGGTTAGCAAGCACCTAGGAATAAGCAATGGCAGTCTGCCGCTGAGAGGGCAATGAACCACACACCAAGAAGAGCTAAAGCTGAGGTTAAAAGCATGAACTAAGAAAAAGCATCCCTTCCAGCAAAGTAAACCAGCCCTAAGTGCAAGGAGCCACCAGAGGAAAATGAAGGTGAGAGGTTCTGTACAGAAACCATAGAAACAACAAAACCCCAAAC